ATAGGTGCTATACTTACATAGTGACTGAATTCTCTAATTGTAGAGAGAAATTGCTTTTTTAAAAAAAGGAAAAAAGCCCTAGGATTTAAGAGAAAAGTAATTTTGCAATATTTGGAACAAAAACTAAAATGAGATTTTTCTGAGATAATCATTTTGTAGGAATGAAAAATTAAGAGATAAACTGCATAACTGAGATGTAAGTGAACCTCTAAGAAGCGCTGTTTTACTACTGTAAAAGACAGGTATTGATGTTCCAGAAAATTCAACAAATGCCCAAAGCTCCTTAAACTGAGCATATTTCAGCTTTATACTAAACAGATGGCAAGTATTAAATAAATGGCACTGGCAAGCTCACAAGGGTGAGAGCAGAAACATCTTCCCACCAGCCCTACTATAGGGAAGAACCATTCTGACCCACCACACTGGAGAATCCCACTTCCATCAGATTGTAATGACTTGTCAAGGCACAATAATTCATTCCTTCAATAAGTTACTGAGTGCCTGCCACATGCAAAGCCCTGTGCTAGGACCCGGGGAATATGGTACAGAATGAGACAGATATGGCTACTGTGTAATAAAGCTTGCATTCTATCCAGGGAAATCTAACATGAAAACAACTCTTTATATAATTTATTTGCATCTAGGCATAGGATGTTACAGAATTATATAATAGAGAATCTGAACCAATATGAATAATATACTTACTGGAACAAGGAAAGCCAAAGTCTTGCCAGATCCAGTTTTGGCAGCTCCAAGTACATCTTTACCCTGCAAAGCCAATCCTATGGTCTGCTTCTGTATCTCAGTTACCAAACGGTACTGGGCTTCTTGCAAACCTGACAAAGTGGAGGAGAGAATGATACTTTAGAAAATCCCTGCAGGACGGTGTTTCAGGCTGAGTGTCCTCCCCAAAGTTCCTATGTTTAAGTCCTAACCCCCAGTACCTCAGACTATATTTGGAGACGAGGCCTTTGAAGGGGGTGATTAAGTTAAAGGGAGTCCCTTAGGGTGGGCTCAATCCAACACAACTGGTGTCTTTATAGGGAGGAACTTGAACAAAGAGACACCAAGGGTACACCTGTACAGAGGAACAAACATGTGAAGAGGCAGCAAGTTACCATGTGATCCAGCAATCCCACTCCAGGTATATATCCAAAGGATAGGAAATCAGCATGCTGAAGAGCTATCTGCACTTCACATTCACTGCAGCATTATTCACAATACGCAACATATGACATCAACCTAAGTGTCCACCAATGAATGAATAAAGAAAATGTGGTATATATACACAATGGATTATTCTTCAGTCTTTAAAAAGGAAATCCTGTCATTTTCCACATGAATGAACCTGGAGGACATGGTATTAGGTAAAATAAGCCAGGAACAGCAGCACAAATAACCACACGATCTCACTTATATGTAGAATCTAAAAAATGGGAATTCATAGAAACAGGAATAGAACGGTGGTTACCAGAGGCTGGGAGGGAGGGGAGATTGGGAAGATGTCGGTCAAAGGATAGAAAATTTCAGTTAGGAGGAGTGAGTTCAGGAAATATATTGTATATCACGGTGACTATAGTTAACTACAATATACTATGTACTTGAAAATTACTAAGAGTTGATTTTAAGTGTTCTTACATGTTAATTATGTTCCATGTTAATTAGCTTTATTTAGCCATTCTGCAATGTATACATATTTCAAAGCATGTCATACAATAAACATATACAATTTGTATTTATCAAAAAAAAAGGTAGCAAGAGGATGGCCATCCCCAAGCCAAGCAGAGAGGCCTGGAACCTTCTCTCATGGCCCTGAGAGAAAACCAACCCGGCCAGCACCTTGATCAGGGATTTCCAGCCTCCAGAACTATAAGAGAGTTAAGTTTCTTTTGTTTAAGCCACACAGTCTGGTATTTTGTTATGGCAGCCCTACCAAACAAATACAAGCAAAAATATACTTTTGTTTGCTCCCTTATTTTAACTGACACAGTTAGATTTCATTTTAATTATTCAGTGGCTCCTGGAATCTTATATTTTTTTAACTAATGCTCTTTAGCCACTCCAGATAGAATGAAAATGACAAATTGTTAGATGTAAATATTACTTATTTTTGTTGGTCTCATGATATCAAAATTTATCAAAATTAGATTTTTCAGGTTAAACTCTAAATCTTCTCCCACTTACCAAAAATGCCAAGAAATCCAATAACGCATCCCAAGATCACCACATACCTACCTTTCAATGTTTTTTTGGACAAGGGGAAATCTGAAAATCTTGTAATTTCATTCACATTTATCTGGAAAAGAAGGGAAAAAGGGAACACTGTGAGATATGACAAAATAACCTACTGGATAATTCCTTTGTTTCACAATAAAACCATTTTTTCTCTACACCGTACTGCCTAGCTCATCCTTCATACTGTGGGATTGAATTCAATCATCGCTTCTAATTAAAAGCTATCATTCCTTCTGAAAGCAAATATACCTTGAAAAAGCTGTCCTAAATCAAATATAAATTTGTAACCACTTCAGTTGATAAGAAAAAAATTCACTCAACACACACACGAGACACACATTACCACCTTGAACATTCTTTATCTCCAAAATGTTAACACGGTCATGGCTAACCACATCAACTTTAGGAGGAAAATTTACTTTCAATCATCCTTCAAGGGATATCAGTTAAAGAAAAAGGGACAAAATGACCACAAACCACAGACCATGATGAAAATAGTTCTATATACACAACTTGGAGAAAAGACTGAAACTAGTTGGAGAAATATATCATGTTAGCACAAACCTTTCAAAGATTTAACCATAAATCAGTGGCCTATGAAATCCCACCTGATAACTGTTCATTCTGGGGTATACTGAAAGAGGGGTATTATTTCACAAATAATCAGGGGAAAATGTCTATCATGCTTTGAAGCCACAATAAGCAACATTTTGCTCTTTATCTTATTCAAATGTTCATTACCGATGTTCTTGATTAGCATAAACCCAATTTTCCGAATTTCACTTCAGCTGCTCAGGGGAATTATTTTATTACAGATGCTGAATGCAGGAAGAACTCTGCTCAGATCTGGGGACCTGCTGCCAAATTATTCATGATTCACAAAAGGGAAAAGCTGCATTTGTAAGGCTCATTTGTTTAAATTACACTCTAGGCGGTAAAGAGACGACAGTTGTATTTCATTTTACAATCTACACATCGTCTGTCCCAGGATTCTTAAAGTAGCCCAGGCAGGTTTACTCTCTGCCCTCAAATACTGAGAACTCAGATATTAAAACATTATCTTAATCCTTGTGAATCATTACAGTTGTGAATCATTACAGGTATCATTGAAGAGGAGGCAGAATCAGTGTACTAGCATTAGAAGAATGGTTTATCCAAATAACATCCTGTCCCAGCTAGGAACCTCGCACAGAAGATAATCTTCCAAACAGGACATTAAAGTTAGGTGTGGTCCACTCTTGCACTTGTGGTATTGTCAGCTAAACAGCTGTTTTCACAGGGAATGGAGTGCCCACAGTACACCAACAACACACTCTTCAACCCCCAGCCAGAGACACAGCACAGGCAAGGCTGGCTCCCTAAACAAAATACCGCAAATCTTCCTGAAGTCTGTTAGCCTCCTACAGGGAGGTTTAGAAAAATGAAACCGTTCCAGCACCCTACCATCAACCATTACAATGTAAAACTATACACCATAGTCTTAAAAAGAGGTCTAAGAAAGAAAAGGAAATTCTGATCCTGCTGATGCTCTAGAACAGGGGTCAGCAAACTGCAGCCTACAAGCCAAATAAATCCAATTTGCAGCCTGTTTTTGTAAAGTTTTACTACAGCACAGCTACAACCATTCATTTACATATTGTGTACGCAGTTGTGACTGAGACTGTATGGCCTATAAAGCCTAATGTGGACCATGAGCCCTTTACATAAAGTTTGCTGACCTTGCTCTGGAATGTTCTCTGGTACACTCCAAGGAATACTTAGCCACAGCAGGAGAAGGTTATGGTTCCTACAAACAAAATAACACTTTCTCCTTCCCTTTATTCCTTTCTTAGAAAAAGAAAAAAAAAAAATCACTCCTGTCTCCACAATCCTCATACTCCCTCTAAAATCTCTGTAATCATTCTTCTGAACTCAGAGAACAGATATTTCAAGATGGTCCTTATTAAAGACTTCCCAATGATGGTGCAAAAGTTAGAAGGGGCAGAAGAGAGAACAGGGTGAGTATCACTTAACCACCCTATTATTCTTCTTACAACTCCGATAACATCTATTTCTCACTAAAGTGAATAATGCCTGGAAAAAAAAGTATAAAAATTCATAGAATGCAATCAAGAGAAGAAAAGCAACCTGCTCAAATCGCTCCAGGCCAAATTTTGATTAAAAAAGAGATTCGAATGCAGAGTTTCTATGTAGTGCAGCTGATGAATCCCAGGTGCAGAGAGTTTGAGTCACCCAGCAATAGGGAAAACAATTGCTGAACTGAAACAAATAGCTCAGCATTTCTCACTAAACCTCAATCCCCAGTTCTCCATCAGCCCCTCCAACATGCACCCCATCCCAAAGTGGTGGCCTTGGAAATACACCACACAGACCTCCTGCTGCAAAAAGAATAACTGATGGACTGTGCTGGCTGTCACCCCTATAAATCCACCACGAACAAAACAAGTTTCCCTGGATTACTCCCAGTCAATGGCTGGGCTCAGCGGCAGTGCTACTACAGGCCTGGGGTTCCTCCCACAGACAACTTTGGAACAAGGACTCCCCCTCAGCCTGACCAAAGCTTTCTTAGACTGCTGTAGTCTGAGACTCTGCCTACCTGCTCCTCCTTCCCTCCCTATTCCTATTCCCTCTCCTTCAGCCTTCAGAGACATTTCCCCTCAATAAAGCTCCAATTCACAGAATCCCATCTTGGCATCTGTTTCTCAGAGGGCCCAAGACCTAGACTATACCAATAGTCTCCTAACTGGTCTCTTAGCCTCCAAAAATTTTACAGCTTGGACATATTCTCTAACTGCCCCCAGAGACTTCTTACTGCTTCCAGATAAGTCTCTTGAGCACAGCCTTTGTGAAAATTTCCGACTGTTACTATAACAAACTACCAAAAACAGTGGCTTAAACCAACACAAATTTATTAACCTTACAGTTCTGGAAGCCAGAAGTCCAAAATGGGTTTCACTTAGCTAAAATCAAGGTGTCAGCAGAGTTGCATTCCTTCCGGTGACTCTAGGGGAGAGTCTGTTTCCTTGCCTTTTCCAGCTTCTAGAGGCTGCTCACATTCCTTGGCTATGGCGCCCCCCCCCCTTCTTTTTTTTGGAGTCTTGCTCTGTTGCCCAGGCCCACAGTACATAGCTTTCACAGCTCACTGCCACCTCAAACTCCTGGGCTCAAGTGATCCTCCTGCTTCAGCCTCCTGAGTAGCTAAGACTATAGGTGTGCACCATCATACCTGGCTAATTTTTTTTTTTTTTTTAATATTTTGCAGAGACAGGAGTCTCACTATGTTGCTCAGGCTGGTCTCGAACTCCCGACCTTCCTGTCTTGGCCTCCCAAAGGATTACAGGCATGAGCCACCGCACCCAGCCCCCGCTTCCATCTTCAAAGCCAACAACAGACTTCAAGTCTCTCTCACATCACCCTGACACTGACTGTTCTGCCCCTCTCTTCCACATTTAAGTACCCTTATGACTATATTGGGCCTACCTGGATAAGCCAGGCTACTCACCCTACTTTAGGGTCAGCTGATTAGCAACCTTAATTACCCCTTTCATCTACCATGCTCACAGGTTTCAGGGATTAGGTTGCTGTCATCTTTAGGAAGCCATTATTCTGCTTGCCACAGCCTCCAAAGTCATTCTCAGTCTACCTCCAACCCCCTTGACGCTAACTCAGGAACACATGCAACACTCCAAAGAGTATGTCCTCCCTTGAAGAACACCATGCATTGTTACATCTCATGTTGCTCTTTCCACCTAGAATGTCCTCACCAATCTTTTCTATCTGGTGAACTCATCAATCAAGAACTAGCTCCACTCATGGCTACCACAAACTACTGGACAGTTTGTATACTACACAAAGACATCTTCTAAAGCTGAAGTGCAGGATCTAAAGTCCAGCCCACATTCACCCCCCAAGCCAAGCCCCAGGCTGCAATCACCAGGAAAAAGGGTAGCGTACACAGAGGAAGCATGTTTTTTTCTAATCATCTGGCCAGAAGGAGCTCAGTAGAGGACAACTCAACCTTTTTCCTCCTAATTACACCGTCTTCTACCTCCACAGCATGAGTTACATGCTACATATTTACTATTTACTACTATAACATTTTGTACATACTATTAATAACATTTGCCAAAAATGCATCAACCCCACCTCCATCACAGTTGTCTAGGAACCTGGACGTGTATTTTTCCCATGTATATTAACACAGGCCTTAACAAGCGCCTGTCTAATTATTTCAAAATGTTTCTGAATCAAATTGCTTAATATTTCACCAGTGAGGCTACTGAACATCACCTATGTACCATGGCTCTGTCATAAAAGTTTCGTGCACAAATGCTACCACCTGAGGAGCCATACAGGGATGGCCTGCACCTTGGTTACCTGGAGAATAACAAATCTGCTATTCAAATAATTATATCCTTGTATTGTTAGTCCAGGCAATTGAGTTCACACTGCATTTATTTCTTGACCAAATCTTAAGAAAATATTTCTAAAAAGAAAAAGAAAGAAAGAAAGAAACCAGAACAATGCATAGGGAGATAAAAGCTGCTCCTTCAACTCAATGAAAAGATTGGGATTTAAACATTTGTTTAACTGGCTGAGAGTGGTGGCTCACGCCTGTTAATCCCAGTACTTCGGGAGGCCAAGGAAGGAAGATCACTTGAGACCTGGAGTTCGAGACTAGCCTGAGTAACATTCCAAGACCCCATCTCTACACAAAAAAATTAAAAAATTAGCTGGGCATGGTGGCGTGTACCCATAGTCCTAGCTACTCGGGAAGCTGAGGCAGGAGTATTGTCTGAGCCCAGTAATTCAAGGTTACAGTGAGCAACAATGGGGCCACTGCACTCCAGCCTGGGGGACAGAGCAAGACCCTGTCTCTTAAGGAAAAAAGAATTTTTTGTTTAAGAAATGCAGCAAAGTGTAGTGGCTTGAAGCTCTGGTGTCAGACTATGTGGATTAGAACTCCTTTTCACTTACTAGCTGTTAACTTTGCTCAAATTATTCAACCTTCCTGTGCCTTAAAGTTTCCTCACCTGTATAGTGGGAATGATTTCACAGGGTTGTTTGTTGTGAGGATATAGCAAGTCAACATGCATAAGAGTTTCGTAAGTATTAGTAATTACTACTGAAACAAGAGACCAAAAAAAATGAACTAATGCTACCAACTGGAGCAAAGCCACCTGGAAAAGGTCTAGTCTTACAGCAAACAACATCTAAACACTGATTGGGTATCTGCTCAAGGACAAGCACTGTACTACCAGCCTCTAGGAAGAGCAAGATGAGTATATCACTGGTGCTGACCTTAAGAAGTTCATGGTCTAGAAGAAGAATTAACAAAGGAGTTAAATAAAGAAGCCAATCATCACAGCCAGGTGATAAATGCTGTAATAAAGGTATCTACAAAATGCTACGGATACACAGCAGTCCTGACTCTGCCTGGGGAGATTATGAAGAGAAGTTTGAGCTAAATCCTGAAGGACCTGTATATGTCCTTAGGGTGAGGAGGATGTGTACACTCACTGCAAGCAGTGGAAACATCAAGTAGCAGGAGGAGAAGCACAAGGAGCATGGCCAATTCACAAAACTACAAGTCATTCCTTCATATGTGCCAATCATGTACTGCTTGGTTTATATATATTATCTCATTTGGGCTTTACAACACCCAGCGTGGTTAATAATCTGTTTGTTGAATGAAGAAACAGAGAGGTTAAGAAACTTGGCTAGTCAATACCTGAACTAAGTGAGATTTAAACCAGGTCTGTTTCACGACAAATACTTTACTCTTTCAGTAGACAAACATGTTGACCCACTGTGTTTGACAATTTTCCTGAAAGTAACTGTGAGCCAAGGAAGGGTCTTAATCAGGAGTTAAAATGATCGGATTTTCATCTTGAAAAGAATCATTCTACCAGACGTATAGAGGATAAATTAGAAAGGTATAAGGGCCAAATCCCATCAGCCACCTGCTTCACTAATTAAAGTTTTATTGGAACACAATACCCATTCATTTCAGTATTTCTATAGTGGCTTTTGTGTTACAAGGACACAGCTGAGTAGTTCCACCCTGATGACTGCAAAGCTGAAAACATTCAGTGATCATTTACAGAAAAAGGTTTGCTGACCCCTGTGGTAAGCAATAGGTACTATAGTAATCCAGGCAAGAGATGAGGGGGCCTGAACTAAGGCACAGCAGTAGGGATAGATAAGCACTTCAGAAATTTAAGCAGCAGAAAAGATCACCAGTGTGACCAAATGGATGGAAGAGTGGGTAAGAGAGAAATATGTAGGACTGTTCCTGGGTTTCTAGCTTGACAGTCTGCTTAGATGGTGGAACTAGGCTGCAGCAGGCTAAAAAACGGTCTCTAAAATATGTCCATGCCCTGACACCTAGAACCTGTGAATGTTACCTTATCTTACATGGCAAAAGTGACTTTGCAGATGTAATTAAAGATCTTCAGACACAGAGATTATCCTGGATTATCTGGGTGGGCCCTAAATGCATCTGCAAGTGTCTTTAAAAGAAGGCAACATGTCCATGGAGGCAGAAATCAGAGTTATGCAGCCACACGCCAAGGAATGTGAGCAGCCTTGAGAAGCCAGAAGCAGCAAGGAACACATTCTCCCTTAGAGCCTCTGGAAGAAGCATGGCCCTGGTGACACCTTGATTTTTGCCCAAACTTATTTCAGGCCTCCAGACCTATGAGAGAAAAATTTCTATTGTTTTAAGCCACCCAGTTTGTGGTAATTTGTTGTTACAATGGCAACTTTAGTCACAGGAATGTTCCACCCCTTAAATCCCTGAGTATACTGCACTAGAAGGGGGCAGAGAAGCTGAATGGGTTGGGTGAAGGCCAACAGACATGGGATTTATGGGAAAGGAGGAGGAGAAGAACTGACAGCCTGGAGAGGGGGGTAGATCAACAGGTCAAAGTGGTAACTACAAGGACACATCTGGGAACATCAGCTACAATGTGGGGATGATAGGGGACAAAAATAGACCAGCAGTCTAGCTTTTCCACACCAATTCTTCATGGGGACATGAAGCATGTAGAGAAAATGAGATGGTCACAGGAAGCAGGATGGATGCTGCTGCTGAGGGAGGGAGTCTGGCTCAATGGTTAAAAGCAACGAGTTTAGAATTAGAAAGACATGGGTCTAGGTTCCAATTCCACACCACCTACCAAGTGTGAGAGATTCAGACAAGTTTCTTATCCTCTCGAAATCTCGATTTTCTCATCCCTAAAATGGGACTATTAAGATCCATACCTTAAATCAAGTCAAATAATGTAAAGCACATGATGACTGCTTAAAAATGTAGGTGTCGTTATTACCATTGTCGTTAGTATTACAACGATGAATATTACTGTAACCATCACAGCATCAATCTGCCTACCCTTAGATAACACCGCTACATTTCTGTGCTCTTTTTCCAGAACTGTGGGGTGAGCAGAAGAGTGGCCAGGGCGGTGCACACACTTGGGTTGTGGCACTCGGTGACACCTCCCACCCCGCTCCCTTCTCCAGCCCGCTGGACTAATGGCACGCACCCCAGTGATAGGTCGGCCCCCTCCCTTCTGAAACCCACCGCCGCAGTGACACGCTACCCTGCTGTTGACCCAAGCCGCGCCCCCTCCCCAGCGCCTCACCTTCTCATAGTTCTGCATGAGGCGGCTGATACCCTCGCGCTCCACTTGCCACTCGGGTTTCTTCAGTTGCTTCCTCAACTGTTTCTTTTGGCTCTGCCTGTGCCTGTGTTTTTTCTTCCAGCGATTGAAGCTCCGCACTGGGTCGGGTCGGGCCCCCGAACCCCGGGAGTCAACAGTTTTGCCCATCGTGGCGGTAGCCACACTCCAGATCGCACCCAAACACAAGACGCTGAAGGCCAGGCTCGCGGAACCAGCGTGGGGAAAGTGCACCGGAGCGCATGCGCGAATTCCGGAGCCCGCCCCCAAGCTTTTGAAACCGGGGCACGAGCCAATGACGGCAGGGAAAAAGCGAGCGGTGATTGGAGATTTGGCTTCCGCAGGGAGGAGCAGTCTAAGGAAACGAGGACGCAGCGTGCTGAGGAAGAGGGCGTGCTGTGCGCGCTTCGGAGCACGCCGGCTCTTTAAAAGGACGCATGCGCACTGGTTGCTGTTAGTATGGTGACGTCTTACACGCACCTTACACGTTGGCGCTGGGTTCAGCTTTGTAAATCGTTCGCGAGAGCGCGCGTATACACGTAACAATCTATGACTTATAATTATGATCCTCGATTTGCACATTTCGGCCCAGGGAGCCAAAAGATTTGCCCCAAATCGAACAGCTAGTTAATGACTTCTGTTTTCCATCCTCTGCAGTGTACATCCCCATAGGAATTAAAATGAATATATTTTTGTTATGCCCCTCTGAGCTTTCCTTTTCCTCTGGATCCCTCAGACTCTAGCTGCAGCAGTAAGGGACCTGAGGCAGAGTCTAATTGAACTTGCCTAAAATGCTGTTATAAAGACAAAATGATAAGTTGTTCCCAAATTGGCCATTTAAGTGAATTGGCTTTCAATTAATTAGGGTTTTTTTACACGTTTACCTAGAGCCTCCGCAGGTACACAAGGGATGGGGAAGTAGGAGAGCTCAGTTGTGGCAATGGGAATTGGTGAACTGGGTTAAAATTTCACATAGAGTGAGCCCTCAAATTACCTTTCCAACCCCACATACCAGATCACTACCCACAACTCTATGCCCATCCCCCAAACAGGAGATGGCTGATTAGGAAGTGGGAAGGAGGTAGGAGGTGAACTGGAGAATTTCCACACTCACGGACAGTAGATGAGGTGGAGAGTAAAGCTCAGTAAGGAGAGGTTATATAAAAGTATATATACATCCTCAGAAAATTAAAAATAGAACTACCATATGAGCTAGCAATTCCACTTCTGGGCACATACTGAAAAGAATTGAAAGCAGGGTCTCAAAGAGTTATTTATTTAGATACCCATGTTCATAGCAGCACTATTCACGATTGCTAAAAGGCAGAAGCAACCTCAGCGCCCGTAGACTGATGAATATCGGATAAGCAAAACATGGTATATACATAATATGGAATATTATTCAGCCTTCAAAAAGAAAGAAATTCTGACACACACTACAACATTGGTTAACCTGGAGCACATTATGCTAAGTGAAATAAGCCAGTGAAAAAAGGACAAATACTACTTTTATGAGGTAGAGTTGTCAAGATCATAAAGAGAGAAAATAGAGTGATGGTTACCAGTGGCTGGGGATAGGGGGAATTGGGAATTACAGTTCAATCAGTGTAGAGCTTCAGTTTTGCAAGATGTTCTGGAGGTTAGTTGCACAACCGTGTGAATACACTTAATGCCACTGAATTATATACTTAAAAATGGTTAAAATAGTAAGTGTTATGCTATGTGTACTTTACCAAATATATGTTTACCACATATGTATACATATGTTCACTAACTGGCAGGGAGGGTTCCCTTCGTTGCTCACCCCACAGAAAGCCAATTATGGAGACAAGGATCATCAAGGAAGAAAGGAGATTTATTGTGGAGGACGTGTGAACTGGGAGGTGGGAGGAATGGACTGCCCTCCCCAAAAAACAGGGTCAGGGGGTTTTCTGGGGATAAACTAACTAATGCATGAAATGAGTAAGCATCATTACATGTTTGGGGCAGAGTGTAGGCATGCAAGCACAGTAAGAAACCATGCTAGTACATATATCACATGATCAAAAAATGGTGATTAAGTCTCTCCCAGGGCAGGGATTTTAGTAGCATAATGAGCTAGGCAGGGAACCTTCGGTCTCAAGGCCCCATGAGTCCCTCCAGATCCCCAAGTGCTTCCCCTCGACCAGATGAATCCAAACTTCATGGAACAAATCCCTTTATTAAAAGGATTTGTTTTGGAAAAGTTGAACTCAATCAAAAGGCTGCATTCTAGGATCCAGAAGGCCACATGTGGCCCCAAGGCCTCAGGTTCCCCACTTCTTTCAGCCTTGTGTGCAGGAGGAATGCAGGGAGTAGGTTGCACAGCTGGTCCTTGGGCACGATCTGGGTTGGGGTGTCACTTATCTTGTCTTCTCTGGACAAACAGGAAGTATAAGGCTTTGTAATTACCTCATGGCTGTAAGGAGGTTCTGCTGTGTCTGGGGGAAAATATTTACTGTTGCATCAGTGCAACAGAAAGTTACAAAGTTCTGGTCAGCAAATTTTACTGGCCTGGGAATTTGAAACATAAGAGAACTATAAAAAGCTGTTTTTGCTAATGGAGCCAGTTATGCATACAGAATAAGGAGGCCCTCACCTGTAACTCACTCTCCTAAAACTGAAGCAGCCAGACATATATGTACCCCAGACAAGAAACTGGCACATTCATCTCTAGGGAAACTGAATACCCAAGAGAAAGACCTCCATATGATACAATTAGGCAGCTGCAAAAAAAATGGCAAGTCACCAACCAACCTCCCCCTCACTCTTCAGTGAAACTTACCAGTTAATAACCCCTCCATTCGCTTGTTTCTAATCAGCTTTACTCTTAAATATGAACGAATAACCAAAAACCACCAAAGATTTGAGGAAATCTTTTAACTTAAAAGTTTTAAGCCAAAACTAACAAACCAATGCAGAAAGCAAAAACAATCTTCAAAAAAATCATTATTCATATTTTTAGAAAGATAAGGCATTGTATCCAAGAAATAAATAAAAACAAAGAATACTCAGAGAACAAAACAGAACTCTCAATAGAAGTCATTTTGTTTGTTACATAAATCAAATTTTTAACATAAAATAATAGAAAATTCAAATCTCAGACACAATTAATAACTCAGTATCACATTTCAAAGTCATTAGGATTTAATAATTTGTAATAAAAATAGTCCATATCTTGAGCACATAAAATGACATCTTTGTAATGGTTTCAATGCTTATTTTGTTCCAATACCTTGTTTCTGTAGAATGACCCCTAGACAAGCTTTCAGTTGTGACATTGAGGACACTAAATAGCTTTTAACACATTTTAATTTTAAAAATCTATATTCTCCACTGCCAATCAATATTCACAAAATTTCTAAAGAACTAAAAATGATTTGGAAATGTGCCTGGTAACTAGTGCTACAAATATAGGCAAAACTTAAGTAAAGGGGGACATATTAAAATTTAGGGGGGGAAATGTAATATTTTTAGCTCATTGTCATACATCGATGCCCCCATTTAATATTATTCATCAGTTAGTTTCTATTTGTAAATCTTTACATAGTTGCAGTAGCTCATCCTCATAATTCTTCAAATTATATTAATATGTCTCTAAAACTCTGAAAAGACCAATATATCCTTTCAGTACTCTAAAACTGTTTTTAGAAGTTTATTTTGTTTGAGAAACAGAGAGAGAATGATGCCCCAGTAGAGAGGAGCACAACTATTCCCAGATCTCAGTTTATAAATGCTATTTTTTCTAATCAAATGAACCAGAGCTTTTTGGAGAAATAGCTAATTCCAGGGCTGGGGTGAAAAAAGTACAAAGTGAGCTAGAATATCTTGAAGTGTCAGAAAATAAAGTGCTCAACAAATGATGGGAATGGTAGACACAGTTCTATTTCTTGACCTAGGTGACAGTTATAAGGATGTCTGCCTAATAGTACTTCAGTAGACTCTATACTTGTTTTATGTAGTTTTCTATAGTGAAGGAAACCAGAATACATCACTCCAAAATATGCGTCTTTGATATAAAAATTATTTTTGAGCTAAAAGCAATTAAGAAGCAGCAAACAGGGGAAAAGCTCTTCCTATCTGCCCACTTTTCTGCGTAAAGACAGGAAATAATTTCTTCTTTATTGGTGACAATTCTAGTTGTCATAGAAGCCCAGGGAGGGCACCAGAGGAATCTGCAAACAAATCTATGCCATTAATTTCCTCCCATACATTTATGTTCCACAGTTTCCTGCCTTAGGAAACCCAAAACTATTTTCCTTTTTCTTGTCATTTCTCTACAAATGTGTTGCTCTTGGTTGAATGCTATATAGGCCAGAATGCTAAGCCACTGCTTTTGAGTTACTTTTCCTTGAGGTTCCTTCCATGTGATGTGCACTGCAGAAAAACAATAAACTTGTGTTTCTTTTGTTAATCTGTCTTTCGTTACAGGAGCCTGTCCCAACTATGAATTTATGAGGGTTGAGGAAAAATTATATTTCCTCTCCAACAATAGGTATATTATATTTTTCAATAAAAATGGTTTAAAATATAAAATGTCCACAACAACAACAAAAAAATCATGCTAGATTCGAACTGAGCAAATACATTTAAACATAGGTATTTTCAAAAGTATAACTTTGGCTAGCATTCTAGACTTTATCTAGATAATTTATCTTTAAAAATATTAATAAATAGCTGGACACTGAAACCACCCTTTATAAAATTAATAAAGGGCCACAAGGTGGAAACTATGGTAGGGGAAATATATACATAACCAGCGATTGTTCCCTAGCTTGCTCCCTGTAATTGCTTACTATTCAGGGGTCATATAGCTGATGCTCATAAAGACTCTTACCTTTCTTCATTGTTCCCATAAATAACGACACCCTTGTGAAACCCAAGGCTAGTTTTTGAGATATCTTCCAGGCCCTGCATTCTGGTGGAACAGCTGACCCACCCAGAGCAGAGGCCCATACTAAGGAATTGACGCAACTGGTCTTGCAACCCCCACCCAAGAACAGACACAGCAAAGAAGACAATTTCTACACCCCTGTGGTTCTGCCTGAGCCCAGCAGGGCCAACACGTAGCCACTTTGATTCCTGAGTGTAACGTCTCCGAATTTTTAACAACAAAAATATATTTACGTAATTGGCTGGTACACATAAACTAGAACACCAGGAGGTTCAAGCCTGCCAAACTGTTGTGCTGCTAACTACTCAGAAGTCATAAATTAGTTTGTCTATGCAT